TCAGTCAAGTCATCAAGTGATATCAAACAAAAGTTAACATAAATTATAACTATGAACAATCGCGAAGTACATATATCTACATACATATTTTCAGTTTTTCCACACTATATATCAAGTATAGTTAATCAAAATCATAAAATAAACACTATTGTGGAGATATATATCATGTACATGCGAGTGAATATTATGATCTAGTAGATTAGAACATCGAAACAAAAGTAATAATAACATCATGCCGATAACATTAGTACCGGAATTCTAATAAAACTAATGAGCACAGTGGCGGCGTTAATTTCCAAGACCTTATTTTATAGTCGCAATAATTATTATTTTAAATATGTATATTTAAAGCAAATGTGTTCTGCTGGAATTAAAGGGCTGGATTTAATAACTACAAAAACAAAGCAACAATTTTCAGGGTAGTAAATTTCACCTATTTCAGACCGTCAAGATTTGCGGGTTTTCAAATCTTCTTTTTTACTTGATTTATTGAGTAACAAAAAGCGTTGTGAACCTGTTAGTCAATGTTGTTGAAAGCAAGGGAGAGCTGATAATTAACAATACATATGTATAAGAAACTCCATTAGGGTGGATTATTTTTAATACTTTTAAAAAAAGTTCATTTGGTGTTCGCCACGCCAAAGATGCCGCTTTTTTTTGAAATCACAATAATAATAATAATTATTATTAATTAAATGAATACCTTAAAGTAAGCCGAATTCTAAACTTGATAGAAAGTTCATATGATAAATTTACAAAGCATTACATTTAATTAGGCTAAAAACAACGACGTTTGCAAGGATCTCGAGTTTAAGCGATGTTTTTATATTTTATACATCTCGAAATGTAATTATTTAACTTAGAGTATTTTTTGCTCAATCAATTATCTATTATTTTATCCTAAAAGTCTTATGATACTGTGTGTACAATTAAAGTATGAATCTTCAAGAAAAAAATCCCAGTTTTCATGACTAGTACATTAATTCCAAATTGTTTAACTCATATGAAAAGTGTCGAGTTAACTGTGAAATGTGTATTTTGGGCTGGGCGAATATTTCCACGCCCTTAAAAAGTGAACTATACGGTTATATAACTCCCCACGTTCCACTAATAGAAACTTTAGGGTTTTAAAAACTTATAACACTGTGTGATTATTATTTTAAGTTGTTTTTGATTAAACCAAATTCACTTTTAAAAAAGCACAACAAACAATAATTGACTTAATGACGTCAACGCAATTTTAATAGCACATATGTCCTTCTCTAGTCCTTATTATCTCATTAATCCGCAGTAGCATGTAAATTTTTAATAGCTCCCTGTGTAATATTCTGTCTGTCTGTAATTTCTACATTCATCAGTTGACTGGTTGACAAGTGCGGTTCCAGCACTTCGAATTTTTCTTTTAATATCGTCCCATTTAGCTACTTGATAGTATTAAATCCAGTGGTTAGAAGTAATTCAATTACAAGTAATTCATTACTGTCATTCAATTCCTTCTCAAGTAATGTAATTGTAATACATTACTTTTCAAAAAATGTAATGAGTAATTGTAACGAATTACTTTTTTTGAGTAATTCAGTCACTTTTACAATTATTTTTTGCAATTATTTTTAACTCAAATACTCAAAAATATTGTTTTGTTTTTCTCTACGATAATTTACCTGACCTGCTGGGATTATTATTCCCAGTTCCTCCCCACAAAGAGAAGATTAACCCAGTAGGGAGTTAAAATCTAAAACCAGTTTAGCACAGAATTTGTTAAGAAACTAATTAACCATAGTATACATAAGCTTTTCATCATTTTAAGAGTGAGCTAAAGCATATTCCAGCATAGGGAAATACATATAAAATTCTGCCCACGTTTTTGCCAAAGTATATGTCCGATTGTAATAAACTTCACACCGTTGAAATGAGCGTAAAAAACCCTACCCAGACTGCTGTTCCGTTTTTTATTATTATTTATTGATTATCTGTTGTTATTTTATTTGTTTTATTTTATTTACTGATGTGAATATGTAACAAATGCGTTAGTAAAATAAAGCACTCACTGCCTCTTTCATTCTAACACGTTTTTTCTTGACCCTTTGGACCCATATAACAAATATCTAAAATTGTGTCTTCATCAAATTTTTCAAAGTGCAAAAAGTAATTGTTAAGGTAATGCATTACTTTTTAAAAGTAATTGTTCCAATCACTGATTAAATCGAGACTATTAGCTGGACATGAAGTACTATTAACAACAATGAAGTAGTCGTTAATCTGCCTATGTAGCACGTGAAGGTTCAGCAAGGTCTTGTATAAATAAAACGTCAGGTCCCATGAACATTTTCGACTACGATGTTTTCCACTTATAATAGGCATTCATGGATCTGGCTCCTGGCCTTCGCTTGGCATACTCACGTCCATCAGGGGATTTCAAGCTTACTCGCGTTTCATCTGAGAATAAAACTCTTTAGTCATTAACAGTCCAGTACTGATTTTTTCTAGCAAAACACGATCACTAGCAGTTGTAAGCGTACTATAAAGTAAATAGTGTTTGTTCTGTTTTTTAAGGCGGATTGTCTAAGAAAACGCTCACCCTTTAGATTGGTACATCGTTTGCATCCTTGCCCTGGGTCTTCAAAGTGAGATCCTAGATGTTGTTTCACTAATTAATCTTGTAATCATGCGAATTTGATAGAATGATGTGTTCCTATCACATTAGCAACGCATGGAATATCACTCACTTAACAAAGTTGATGCGCTTACATTTCCTTTGCCCATAAATTTCTTAGATGAAATTTTTCAGACTTAAAATATTGGTATCTAACATAATAAATGACAATAAAGTTGGTAAAACCTGTGTTAAAATAACGGTTTTGAAATTATTTTAAGTCAGTGTTTGGTAAAGTAAATTCAAACTTCACTTAAAACAAAAATTTTTTTGACAGCATCCACACGGAATGTTAAAGAAGATCCAAAGCCTGCCTATGAAGCAGTTACATTAACTCATTAAATTAAAAATAATCCCTACCTGGGAAGTTTTTAACAAAAATCTAGCGGTGAGTTAATTTTGCTCATGAATTTATTTATACAGATATTATGTACTGGTGTGTTTAAATTCAAACGTGCTATAAGAGGAATCGCTACGTTTGGCTATTATGCTGTTGTCAATATATTTTCAGAATGTAATATATTACTTATTGTTACGAAATTTTAAATGTAACCTGTCCAGAACTTTCATTATATCATGCGAGGGCAGTTTTTTCAAACAGTTTATTAACATACATTTTTCAAATTTTGTTGAAATTTTATATCACGTATTTTAAAAAATCAATATTCTACTTATTTATGGAAACTTTGGAACGTGGTTTTCACTACTGTTTTCTGTTCACAAAACTGTAGAAATCGTATCAGATATATTTTCAATTTTATTTGTTGAACTGAGATATAAAAATAAACGTTTAGCAGCTTCTACGACACAAGCTTTGTTTTTATTGTGTATCGTTTCTAACAAGTCGACGATATATCTGGTACGATTCTGGAGTTTTGTAAGCTGAAAACCGTGTTCCGAAATTTCCTCAAGTATTGATTGTTAAAGATACGTTATGCAAAAATTTCACCAAAATAAAAAAATGATGATCACAAACTGTTTTTAACAAAACTGCGCTTGCGTTATATAAATAAAGTTATGGGCTTATATTTAAAATTTCACAACCATAATAATGGAAATATTACAGCCTGAAAATATAACGAAAATTCCATGCAGAAAACGTAACGTTTGGCTCCTCAAGGGAATTCTCAAAGTATTTCTACTCTATTAATATCTCTATAGACAACCAACAATACTCACCCGTATTATCACGAAAATGCAATGGGGATTTTTTCCTATTCTTTGAACGTTTGTAAACAGATAAAAGTAGCTTGGAGCAATTTATATTTAAGATTTATTTTAGATTTTTTGTTTTGTTTTGAATTAACTTTGGATTTATAATTTTGGCTCAAAATGGAGCGTCCTAATCCTAATCATACATTTGTATAGTAGTTACCAGCAAAGAACGTACTTCTCAAAAAACTGCACTACAAAGGCATATTTAACATAAACTACTAAAGGTCAGCAAGCAACACTGCAATGCATAACCTTTTGACTAGGTTTTGGTGCATTGAAAGAATGCAATTAATTAATGAATTAATTGTAAATTAATTTCAAAGCTGCACTAGTACATTAATTTAAAATGATCTTTGAAATTTATAATCACGAATTGCTACGATGCATTAATAAATTCCATTGTCTTTTGTTAAATTTAGCAGTTATCGTTGCAATTTCATAAATAAATTATGCCTTTGTGCTGAGCCCGATTTCTACGCATTAACTTTCGTGTGCAAATATGTATATTCGTGAAATGCCAAACTAACACGAATTGGATGCATTAATTTTGTAAAGGATTTCGTTCATTCCACGCAATCATAATTATTGACCACCAAAGAAATTCTTGGTTTGCCAGACTATTCTGACAGTGGTATTGTGAAAAAGAAAATTGACGTAACGACTAATTGGCCGCAAAAAATTGCGTTTAGTTGAGCTGTAAATGTTTAATAAACGGTCCAAGCATGTTTATTTATGTTATATCGCCAAAATTGGATAACTTTTGTAACCTATTTTCTGGCAAAACAAAAACAAAGGAAACGAAAAATATGTCATGTTTGGGACGTTGTTTAATAATTGTAAAAGGAAGTCATGAATAGAATGACATTTGTGCAGACATGCAAAGCTATCAAAAACACTACAATTTACTTACATTTTCGTGACAATGCTTAAATATGAGTTAACAAATACGCAAAAATGTACTTTTGGTAATCATTATATCAATACAAAGTACAGGTACAAACCAAATTAACATAGTAACCTATTTGCTATATGGATTTCTGGAATGGAAAAATTCACTGAGCTGAGTGCCATCTGTGAATATTGGTGAATATCAAACGTCGTACAGAAAACAGAAACCCGGAATCAGGACTTTTTGACATTTAAACATTACCCTCGCGGGAAATTAACAAAAACTGTTCTTATTTGTATATTATCAGTAAACTGTTACCAACAAAAGGTGCGATTGGTACTTTTTGTGTATACTCTAAAATAATTGAAATAGGTAATTTTAAAAATTATTTGGAAATACATTTATGGCACTGTTTCGTTTCAGTTTTTAGAGGTTATGTTGTTGTTTATGATATCCCAAGCTCCTAAGAATGCGTAAATTACAAAAGAAAACGAAATCAGCAACACCACCACAAAGGCCCTCTAGGTTTGCCTATACGTTTAAAATTGGATGGTTCACTGCATTAAATGTTAAGTTAGAAGAAGTTGCAATCAATGAAGTGGTGTTACGAATCCCACTGCCCCCAGACTGTAAAGAGCAGAAAAAGCAAAGCAGGAACGATGTTAGTCCAGTAAAACCAACCATGTCCTCATCCATGAGTCGTAAACCTGATAAGAAATTGATACACCGCTCTTCTACACTTAGCAAGAATTCTTCAAGTACAGAACAGAATCCACGCAAAAGATCGGCAGAGCAGTCTTCTGTTTCCTCGTCAGTAAATGACAGGTCCGCTAAAACATCTAAACGTCGCCATTTATCAGTTAATAAAAGCAAAGAGTCTCTAAGTAAGCAGCAGAGTATGTCTGAAAATTCTTCAGATTCTAAGTCTGCGAGCCCTGATTCTGTCCAAAGAGTTAAACATCTGGGCGCATCCGTTAGTGAAAGCAAAGAAACTTTGAGTCAACCTGAAAGTCTTGTCAAAAGTCCACCAAAACAGTCGTCTAATTTGAACCCTGAACCAAAGCATAACAGTTTACCAGTTAATGACAGTGAAAGCTCGTCAAGTAAACTTCAGAATTCCGCTAAAAATCTTTCAAAGCATCCTCATTTAAGAGTAAATGGCAACAAAAACTCTTCAAGTACGCAGCGGGGCCCATCAAAAAGTGTTTCAAAACAGTTATCAAAAAGAACCAAATGTGCAGTGAAAGGTGCAATTAAACGTGGCCAGAAATCGCATGCTGTGTACATTGTTAGGAAAGATGAAAATTTCGCTAATAAACTGCGCCAAAAACTCAAACAACTTGTACATATTCCCAGTCTGAGTAGTAGCCAGATTAAGTTAACAGTAGACTTTGAAAAACTATCAAATTTGGTGTTGCACATGAAGTTACCTTCGGCAGATTGGCGAGTTACGGTTTTAATGAACCGTGACCTAAGTTTAGTATTTGAATTTACCAACAAAACTTCATTAAGGCATGTTAGGTTTTCAGAAACTCATTGTAATATATGTGTTAGTGGCAAAGCCGTGATTTTGTTAGGTTGTCCGAAAACTGTAGATTCTGTAAAAGATATTGAGATCTTGTTAGAAATTGTAGATAAACTTAACTTAGAAGATTGTATGGTTATCACATCTTCATGAATATATAAATGTAAGTAACTATACCATTAATTTTCTGTTTTGCACTGGAAAAATTATATTTTTTACAAAGTATAGAAATTTGTACTTTATTAATATTAGCTGAGTCTGTTTCTAAAGTAATTCTATCAAGAAATTAGTAGCGAATTTCTTCGAAAAAATTGTATTGTAAAACAAACTGTTTGTGTTATAATTAAAGTGTGGATACCATGCGACAAAGTGGACGTTTTTCCAAACATGAAAAATCGGAAAACAGAATTGGAGCAGAGGTGCAAGAGTTTCTCGAAAATTGGTGGATAGTCGGAACAGTACAAAAAATATTCATCTTGTCGTGTCCTAGATTTGAAATCTAAATTTTGCATTAAAAAATGCGTCGCGACACCACATTTGAAAAACAAGAAAAATTCGTCCCATAACGTTAAAACATGCATGTTTTAACTTTTTAAAATCCTCGACTTAGGGCGGTTTTTGAGCGTTTGCGTCACTTTCTATTTTAGGGAAAATACATGTTAAAATTAAGAGTTCGTTCAATTTAGTATAATTTCACTCAAGGGCAATTGTTTAAACAAAAAAATTAATCGCATTCGACGCTGTGGTCCCCTTCCAACGAGTGTAATTAGTGTAAGATCAATTAATTAGCGTTTTTCTAATCTGAAATTTTGTAAAACTTTGACAAATTCGTCAACACGCGTTATTTTTATTGTATTATTTGTACGTTCATGTTGAAAATTTTAACTGTTCCTGGTTCGAATACAATTTAAAAACAATAATGTAAGTGTTCATATAAAACACGTGACGGAAATTTACTTATTCAGGCTTACTCATATTTTGTAATGTATCGTAAAATTCTGGATGTTCTTGCTTAAATGATTATATTTTCACACTTCATAACTTCTCACCCGAGATTTATATATTTTCTAATACATTGGGATTATTTGCTCACAGATTGAATTTGAACATTTATTCTCGAATTATTATTTTGTTTGTATAGTGTGTTTATTGCATATTATGCTTTGTTTAAGGTGATTGTGATATGGGAAATCTCTAGGTGCGTGATGTAATCTTGATGAACTCATTTTAATTTAACATAATAAATTCTTGTTTGAAATTCTTGTTATACTGTGACGTGACGAAGATTTGTTTGCTTTACAGTTTCAGTAATTCATTTAAACGTCATCCGAACTTCGACGGTACCAATTTCACATTAATGTGGTCACCTGTATAAAAGGGATGTCGACACTGACACATTTTTCTGATTTTTTCTCAATTTACCACGTTTCGGACCTTTTTAAATCAACAGTAACAAAATGAACGAGTTAAAGTTCATCAGTCAATTACAACAATGTTAGTAATGGGGGATTTTGATTGCCAAGTTATCCAGCCATTTTGTTTGATTCTGTCCCAACTGGGATACCTACTTCTTATAAAATGTTTTGTAGTCTGCTGGCCGTCTGCGAGGCAAATGGATGATGCGGTCAATTATGTAACAGCCCTTGACTCTAAAAACTCTAGGAGAATTTGATCAGAGCCATGGATTCTGTAACTGTGATATAATAATAATAATAATATGATTTGGACTCTCAATACAGTCTTTGATTTTTGTTCATATTTAAATTTGCCGTCACACCATCAGAATAATTTGTGTACTACCCTTAGATCATATAATAAATAGATACCACCATGCCGTGTTCTTTCCCTAGGACAGCCTGTGACGACATCCTCCTGTCACACATCTCTCTCGTGCATGGAGGGATTACAATGAAGCTATCCTTGCCTGATCACTATTTGAATTTTGCGCGCCTAAATTTTAGGAAGTATGTCTGAACTAACTTCGGAAGAAAGATGTTGACAGCTTGATTTTATAAATAATTCACAGTAGATAATGAAAGGAATAGTAAATTATTGGGCAGCAATTGTGATCCTTTATGACTACATCACTTAAAATAGGATCTTTGTTCTAAATTCTAAAATTGTTTTTTGTACAACAACTCGAAAGAGAGGTTAGAAGAAACATCTGTCAAAAGCGATTTGTTGCGCTGGTGCGGTACAAGGATGGAAGTGAAATAGACATATACAGATGAAATGCATATAACAAAGATGAAGATGTGGTGATCACACAAGGATAGCATTATAATACTCCCCTTGGCGTAGAAAATGACAACAGATAGCTTCATGTCTAGTCACACTTTCAGTTTGAGTATTGGTATCTATTTATTATATGATCTAAGGTACTACCATCCAATTTGACAAATGGTTTTCTCAAAATTTTCGTCTACTTAATTAGTGACTTTCGGTACAGGTTTTGTTTTTGTCGGTGTAGAAACTAGAGAAGCTTGATTTTTCCCCAAATTTGACTTTTCCTTGCTCTTTTGCAATGCTGTGATACGCGTTTTTCGAAATTCCAGTAGCTGCCCTGACGCGTTCTCTATAATTTGCTATGGGGATTGTAGTTCCCTCTTCAGCTTCTTGTTTCATGAAATGCATGACCCCTGCTATTATTTCTCTAGTTTGAGAATGAAGGGGTTTACCTTTGCCAGTTTTTGAAGTGAACATATTCACTTGATTTAAAAAACACTTCTTATTTTGTAATACAACAAACTACAACACTTTATATTTATAAAAAAAAACCCAGACAGATTTCTTAAAAATGAACTTCCAAAACACAAACGACCAACAAAGCAAAAACGCAACGAAACACGGGAAAGCAGTGAACAAGCACGAGACACAGGAAGATAAATGTAGACAAGAAGAAAAAGACGAGGCGAGACAAGAAAAGGAGAAGACTAGCCATAAGACGTTAACTTGTTTGGATATAGTTTCTTTTATTTTCATTAGGATTCCTTTTTCTTGAAAGTAGTTACGTGATTTTACCATTTGCTGGTGTTTTCTGTTTTAAACAACAATTTTATTCACTTTATATCATAATACGGCATTAACAAATCTTTAAATTCGCTTTCTATAACGTCAACGCTAATAAAATAGAAAATTAATATTTTTATTAACGTCAACAATATTTTAATATTTCAAAGTAAAAATATTTTGAATACCCTTCGGATTACACCCAGCATGTGTTTAAATTTTCATCGCCACAGCCACTGCTTTCACGATATTGCTGTCCTCTTTCGTGGTGAAACCTACTCTGCTATAGATAATGAGAATTTTGTTTCAGACTCAACAATTGTTTCTCAAGTTTGAATCTGTTTTCCATAAAATTCAGTTTTTTTTTGGAAATTCTTATGTATCTAGTTGATAGAAAATTAATTCTGTTTGTTGGTTTCGGTCTCGGATTTCGTAATCACAATGTAGTTTATTTAGTGAGTCCCTGAAGTTTATTGTGGTGTCCCGATTTAAAAAGTAACGTTCGAAACTAAAGCCACGAAACCACATTCGCAAAAAAAATGCAGTAACGTAGGGATACATGGGTACCTACTCTTATGTTAGTCATTGATTAAATACACATGTACATAGATAAATCACTTCTTGTATTAGTGTTGCGAGCGTAAACACGTGGTACATGGTGAAATTGGTACATAGAATTTTTGTTTGTAATTTCACCAAAGGGCAAATGTTTAAGCAAAAAAATGAATCGCGTGTGTCTTTCTAATCTAAAATGTAAAACTTTGACGAATTCGTCAACACGTTATTTTTGTTTTATTGTTCGTAAATTCACAGCTCATGCTAAGATTTTTAACTGTTCATGATTTTATTACAATTTAACTACCATAATGGAAACGTTCTTGCAAAGCACGTGGCAGGAAATTCACTTATTCAAGCTGAACGACTTACTTTAGCAACGGCCAGAAAATCTTGGACATATAGAGGTAAAATGACAGGACAGAGCATGCCTCATTGAACCAAATTTAAAGAAATGCCACGCAAGAACCAATTATGACCCTTTCCGTACTACATTGAGAACGGTCGGTTAACAACAAATGCCGTTTGGTTTAAAATGATTTCAGGTACTAAAAACGTCTTACTGTTTGTTTAATCATGGTATACAAAAAAAAAATGTATTTATTGCATCCTAAAGGTTAAGTAATTTTTACTGCTACTGTTTTTATGTTCTATCTTATTAAATTATATTTGTGTTTTATGCCCAGCATCCGGCAAAGGCTTTCCAACACGCCACTGGAAGAATCAGTTTTTCGAAGAACTGGACCCCAGCCGAAAGCACGCTACCAGGCACTTTTTCACACTATCTTCCCTCTTCTCATTCTACCTCCATTCTTCAACGTCATTGTTCTAACATTTTGAAAATTTTGGTGTATGTAGTTCATGCTTTATATTGTCACTTTGAAGTTTGAATTTTAAAAGGTGTGTCATGTCGCATCCAGTCAGCATGCTCACACAGTCAGAAATAACATAAACCTAAAAAAAATAAGGTTACAATACTTAAGGGTGTTTTATACTTTTTGTATCAGTGGATTGACACTGACGTCCAAGATTTTTTGGCCACGACTGTATCAATATTTAAAGTTATTATATTTTCACACTTCATACCTTCTCACCTTAGATTTATAATAATAGGTACATTCATTTTGAGAGAAAGTATTTATCTTGAAATTTATCATCAGTTAAATTAATGTCATGCGAAAACGGGAGGGCTTTAATCTTTTCTTTTACAGCTTAAAATTAAACATTTGGTCTGAGCCTTTTCTGTTCGTATTTTGACTTTGACTGTACTGAATATGTGCTTGTTGTGTTTATTCCTTGTCTGCTTTGTTTTATGTGAATTGGGAATTCATTCGGTTCACAATGTGATTTTTCTAAATTCATTTTGATTTCATCATTAATTCTGTAATAACCCAAACTTCCCGCCTTTAAATTGACCTTGTAAAAGTTTGAATTGACCGCGAAAAATTCAAAAATTCAAAGTTTGGCCTTGGCTGTGATCGTCTAACAAATGGGAACCTACGTTGTGTTTTTTTTTTTTTTTGAAAAATGACGGGAAGACGTTCTTTCATACAAGTGAGCATATATTGCATGTGAGTTGAGAACGCAAGAAATAATAGACAAAATTGTTTTGGAGGGGCTACCACG